AGTGGTGCCTCGCAAGACGAAATTAATTCGTTCCGCAAGTCTCTTCGTCTTGCGGTTTTTTCGTCTTGCGATGCACGGTTTCCCATAGGAATGCATTGAAAATCAATTAATGCGTTCCTAGGGAAACCGCCTTCAGACCAGGTCCGGGGACAGACTGTCCCCGGACCTCTTCTGAAGGCTGCGGGGGGGGGGGACAAGGGCTTTTCTTCCCACCCCCAGCATTTTAAAAAAACCCTGGGAGAGCGGAGGACTTCTCCGCTGTCCGGGCGATCTTAAAATGCTGGCGGGCGGCATTTTAAAATCGCCCCGGGACAGCGGAGGACTTCTCCGCTGTCCGGGGCGATTTAAAAGCCCCTGGGAAGGCAGGCAGGGGGGACAAAGACTTTCGCCCCCCGCCCGCCTTCAGAAGGTGTTCCCGCCCCCCCCCCGGCTTCGCAGCAGCGCTACGAAGCCCGGCGGCTGGGGCAGGTGTTCCCGCCCCCCCACCCCGCTTCGGAGCAGCGTTCCAAAGCGGGGTGGCTGGGGCAGGTGTTCCCGCCCCCCGCCCGGCTTCGCAGCAGCGCTACGAAGCCGGCGGCTGGGGCATGTTTTTCCCGCCCCCACCCGCTTCGGAGCAGCGTTCTGAAGCGGGGTGGCTGGGCAGGTGTTCCCGCCCCCGCCCGGCTTCGCAGCAGCGCTACGAAGCCCGGCGGCTGGGGCAGTGTTTCCCGCCCCCCCACCCGCTTCGAGCCCTCCGAAGCATGTTCGTCCCGCCCCGCCCGGCTTCGCCAGCGCTACGACCCCCCCCCCCCGCTTGGAGGCTTCCGGCGGTGGCGCATGTTCCGCTCCGCCCCTCCAGCCGCTCGAGCGGGCGGGGTGGCTGGGGCAGGTGTTCCCGCCCCCCCGCCGGCAGTTGCGGGTCAGGTCACGCCGCCGAGACGCCAGCGGCGGCTGGCGGGCAGGTGTTCCCGCCCCCCCACCCCGCTTCGGAGCAGCGTTCCGAAGCGGGGTGGCTGGGGCAGGTGTTCCCGCCCCCCCGCCCGGCTTCGCAGCAGCGCTACGAAGCCCGGCGGCTGGGGCAGGTGTTCCCGCCCCCCAGCCCGCTTTGGAGCACCGGGAGAAGCGATCTCCCCGCAGCCCCTTGCTTCAAAAGAGGTCCGGGGGCAGACCTCTTTTGAAGCAAGGGGCGGTGGGGAGAAGCGATCTCCCCGCCGCCCCTTGCTTCAAAAGAGAAGACCCGCTGTCCCCGGGGCAAGCTTCATTTTGCGAAGCAAGCCCATAGGGAAATTCGTCTTGCGAGGCAACTCGAAAACGAAAAAACCTTTCGTTTTGCGAGTTTTTCGTCTCGCGAGGCGTTCGTCTTGCGGGGTACCACTGTAGAAATGAGTAATTGCTGTGGTACCTTTTTTCGTTCATTCATGACAGGAACCTTCAGTTTTCATTAGATGTTTAACAGACCGAGTAGTTGGATAAATTTTAAAACCAGTCTTTTCCCAACTTGTTGCCCTTCAGCTATGTGACCACGGTGGCTGGGGTTGATGGGATTTGTAGTCAAAAATGACTAGAAGGCACTGAGTTGGGGGAGACTGGTCCAGAACATGAGGACTCATGCTGAATCCAGCTTGGCCAACATCCTGTTTCACTCTTGTGAAAAGTCTATAAACAGGATCTGAAGGACCCAAGGCCTGGAATTCGCATATAATTCTCAGGACTTTAACCATTGATGCACATCCTCCAATTCATCTAACCCCCTTTTAAAAGTAATCCGAGTAAGTGGCAATCAGCACATTATGTGGCTGCAAATTTCATAAATGGGAGTGCTTTGTGAGGAAGTGTTTTCTTTTGTTTGTCCTGAATCTCTGCCCATCAGCTTCATTGAATGAGTCTGTGTTCAAGTATTAATAAGAGGTGAAAAAGGTATCTTTCTCTACACCATGCACAATTTATTAAACCTCTCTGATGTCCACCCTCCAATTGCCTTTTTTTCTAAACTGGGGCTGGGAGGAGGGAGGGACCCTTTTTTTAGCCAGAGGGCCACAGTTTCTTATGAGGAAGCTTCTGGGGGCCACATGCCAGTGACAAGCTGCTCCGGAAACGAAACGTAGGTGAAGTAATGGATGTGACTCTTACCTTTGTATAATCATTGAGAAGCATACAGCCTATGTGAAGTCTGTATGTGACCAAACTGATGACGGAGGAACGATTTAGTCTTTGAATAAGACAAAGGTTCCATAATCCCAGTTCAAGCCATAGAGAGTCTGAAATGCTTTCCCATTTTATACATACAGCGGTACCTCAGGATGCAAACAGGATCCGTTCCGGATCCCCGTTCGCATCCTGAATAGAACGCGAGGGCGCATGCGCTGCTCACGTTTTGCCGCTTCCGCGCATGCGTGTGACATCATTTTGAGCTGCTGTGCATGCGCAAGCGGCAAAACCCAGAAGTAATGTGCTCCGTTACTTCCGGGTTGCCGCGGAGCGCAGCCCGAAAGCGCTCAACGTGAAGCACATTCAACCTGAGGTATGACTGTATGTTCCTATTAATATCCAACTTATAGATGGAACCTGTTCTTCCACAGCACAGGAATGAATGAAAATAGGTTCTTTGAGAATTAATTCCCCAACAGAACCCCTAAATTAGTCTTGACTGGAAAGATAACCATATATTTCCTAATGTTATGGTACTGTTAAACTTGACCCCCATCTTGGTAAAGAATGAATGCAAAGTGCAGTTCCCTTGAAGAAATGATGTGCTTTGTAGCATTAGCAAGTTGCATCTCACTTTAAAGTGAGCCTCAACCGTTTTGCATGTTCTCAGATGCATTATAAATCTAGTATATGGTGTTCATTATAGCTGTGTTAAGGCCTTTTTAAACATTTTGATTTTATGTTGGAATTTTAACTGCAGGGTGTTTAGTCAGTTCAAGACGCTTTGCATGAGAGCATTTCTTCAAACAGGAAAGCTGTCCCTTTTAATTTTGCTAAGTAGTAGTGTCAGAGCTGAGCTGGTTTTGCTGCTTGGACTTTTTTGCCCCATTTGTCGCCAGTTGAGTAGTTGGATAGAACTTAGCACAGTGGATGTAGTTGGCAAAAGAACTGGTTACAAGAATGGAGTTTCCAACTAAACATCAGGAAGAACTATGACAGTAAGAGCTGTTCGACAGTGGAGAGGATTTCCTTGGGAGGTTGTGGACTCCCCTTTGGACCATTTTAAGCAGAGGTTGGAAGGCCATCTGGTATGGATGCTTTAGCTGAGATTCCTGAACAAAGGGGTCCCTTCCGTTCAGCATGCTGCTGGTTTCTCCCAACTTCCATTTTTCCTCACCGTGCTTGTGTAGAGGAGTGCAAGCTGGGGCCTTCTGTTTCTCTCTTTCTTTTTCGCCCTATTACTGGAGCACTTGTAGGAGAAATAGGGCACAAGCTTGATTTGGCACTGTTCTGTCTAATACCAAGTTCAAGCTTTTCTAGAGTCACCTGCAGCAGCCGAGTAGAAAGAGTCAATTTCTTCCTCAACGTTAGGAAAACAGATTTCCTTCCACCCACCCCTTCTTTTTTTAAAGATAAAACAAAATTTATTAGAAATCTGTTATTTAAAGGCATTGCTTTCTTTTACTAAAGGGTAAACGTCATTTTTACTCTGAATGCACCTGCCCCTGTGTAGTTTTGGGTGATGGCAGGAGGTTTCATGATACAAATGTTTTCTGCAATCCAATAGAGTGGACGTGCTGGACCCCAATGGCAGGAAGAAAAGAGATGTCGCCACAGATCAGACATTCACAAAATCAGACATTCACAAAAACATGTTGTCTTGATTGTGGGAGAGGTGGGATCTTGTACCTCTCCTTACACTGAGCTTGGGAGACATAGATGCAAGGTCCCTGGGCCAATCCTCTCTCTCTCCCCCCCCCCCCCCATTTCAAGAGGAAGAGGAAAACGGAATTGCCATGCTTGCCAAAGGAGTGGTGAAGAAGGATGAGCAATTGCATAATTCTCAGTGCTATACAGCAGAGTTCATATTCTGCAGTTAATTAAACCTTAGTCCTCGGGACTGAATTCTGCATTCTATTTTTGTGTGAATAAACCAGATCTCCATGCTCTATTTAAATCCCAATAGCTGAGGTTTCTCCTGAATTTTTTTGGCAAACAACTAATAAACTCTGAACAGGAGAGATGTGTGAGGAAGGTGTAGAAGCTTGTGGTGTCTTGACACTGCAACCGTTTGCAAAGATTGCACATAATCAAATGTAACTGCAGTCATGAAAACCAGAAACTTGTTTTCAGACTGATCCTCATTGATTGAGCTTTGTAATCAGTAAAATGAATACAGAGACTCTGATAATGGACTTTGCTGAGAGTGGCTAGCACATTGCGCTGTGACAAAGCATTATGCACACATTCAGCACTCTCGTAGCTGGCCTTGACACAGAAATGGGCAACCTTTCCCCCCTGTTACTCTTGAGTTTTAGAATTTATTTAAAATGTATAAAAAGAACTTCCCAACATGTATTGGAATTACCAGAAGACACCCTTGCCATACCATTCTAGTATCTTTAACACTAATTCAAAGGAAAAATCTGTCTCCCCTATTTGCAAAATAGACGCGATAAGCTGAAATTCAGGAAAAGTAATTTTTTAAAAATTTCTGCTTAAATCTGTTGCTTGCAGTGATGCATAGGATGTTGTTTGGGAACTTGTTTACAAGGATTGGTGAATTGTAGCAAATCATGCATACATTTTCTAGGCACAACTGAATGATGAGTTATGCCTAATTAATGCTACAGTTCTATGCCCATTTACTGTGGAGTAAAACCCCTCAGAATTGCGTAGACTAAAGCATGCATAGGGCTCTCTTGCATATCCTCCTGGTTTCAGTTGAAGTTAAGCTTCATCAAGTAGGTGCAAATGGGAATGTGGGTGCTCATTCTTAAAAGAGAAGTACTGTGGTCAGAACTGTTTAGATTAGATGAAAGATCAGGCAGTGTTCTTCCTTAAACCTTCTAATAGATTTCTTCTTTCCATAGGTTCTAAAGGGCAGCTAAACCATTGCATAAGTTGAGCCACATCTGGGCCATGTCGTCTATATTACCGTTTACTCCACCTGTTGTGAAGAGACTGTTGGGATGGAAGAAGTCTGCCACTGGTTCAGGAGGTGCTGGTGGGGGTGAGCAGAATGGTCAGGAAGAAAAATGGTGTGAGAAAGCAGTGAAAAGTTTGGTGAAGAAGCTCAAGAAGACAGGACAACTGGATGAGCTTGAAAAAGCAATCACCACTCAAAATTGCAATACAAAATGTGTTACAATACCAAGGTAAGAACTCTATAGATCGGAAACAAATCAGTGCCAAAGCAAACAGCAATTTAAGTCTTAAACTAAATAAAAAGTCCTTCAGCAAGGTATTTAATGGTACAAATACCTTTTTACATGGGTTTACTTTCCTTATTTTGCCTGTATTTTAAGCTAACTACATTTTCTTTTTAAGAAGTAGCTGGGATAGTTAAATTGTATTACCTAGATTTCTTGCTCTACCGACATGTGTATTCCTAGAAAGACACATTAACTGACTCTTTCCTTGGTCAACACTTCAGTTTGCTAGCCATGTGTAAATGCCATCCTAAAGTTTTATGCACTGGTCTTGTTTCAGCGGTATAAAACTACGTTTTCACGATATGAATGGGTCTTAGTTTGTCTGTTTCGGTTCCAGAATGTCTGCTTGTCCTGTGTTTGGATTTCTGGAACATCCTTCTGGTGCTCTCAGCATAAGAAAGGAAAGCTTCATGTATGGTGAAGTGGAAAGTATTCTTTGCAGCACAGGTATCCACCATGATCGGATTCCTTCATGACTTCACACATTTTAAAGTTATGCTCACAGCAGTTGAAGGTCATAAGTATAACTAAGGTGCTAGCATTGTTAGAATGCAAAGTCCATTATAAAAGGAAGTTAAGAAAGTAGAAGAGAAGGAACTGTGTTAGCCCAGATTGAGTAAATTGGTATACAATTTTGTTTAGACAATTGTTCATCTATATATTTATCAGGTATTACTGAGGAAGAGGCACCGTTGTTTCTGCAAAGGAATTGTTTCCTTTTTTATATTACAAAATATTTATGGCTGTTAAAAAATGTAGGCAAGATTAATTCATTAATACGATGTTATTGGATATATAAAAAGCTCTTTGGAAACATTGTTGCCCTTTTTGTTAAAAGGTTACAAATACAAGTGGCAAGTATTCTTCATGGTTTGAAGGGTAAATGTGCAGGCAATGACTGATTTATGCACTTCCAATTGACGTGTGATTGCGCATGTGCACACAGCACTGAACCTGAAAATGTTACTAAAAGAATGGAACACTTTACTCGGGCCCTACCAACATGCGTGGGGGTCTGGAACATATCCCACGCAAAACGAGGATTGCCTGTTTATCAGAAGGTGTATTCCTCTTCTAGCGACCCACTCAGGATTTAAATAGCACTTGGGGGGGGGGTTTAGTAGGCCCAGATGCTCATAAGACTGTTAAATCTGGATGCACAATATTTTGCATTTTGATGTGATTTATTACAACTGTTATTTACTGGACAAATTATTTAAATAATAATTTTAACCTTCAAAATTTTATAAATAAGTGGAGTGGATGATACTGGAGTATGGTAAAATCATGATGAGTGACATAGAAATTAACTTTAAAACATCCTAGTTTATGGAATTACACGCCATGGAATTATTTATGTTGGGCACAGGTTTGTTAGCCACAACAGGTGGTAAGCCAGAAGCATGGCTTCCTTGAAGAGACACTAGCCCAGGCATAGGCAAACTCGGCCCTCCAGATGTGTGGGGACTACAACTCCCGTCATCCCTAGCTCACAGGACCAGTGGTCAGGGATGATGGGAATTGTAGTCCCAAAACATCTGGAGGGCCGAGATTGCCTATGCCTGGGCTAGACCTGTGACTATCCCTAATCAGTTCTTTTGTTCTAAATGTAGACAAGTACAATGATAACCACCAACTCTGTTTTCAAAAGACTAATATAATCCTGTAGGGTGGCATGTTCTTCGAGCTTTCATTTTTATGTGGTCTTAAGACTCCCAATTTAACATATGGGAGTGATCTTGCTTTTTTAAAATTAGAGTTGGCAAAGTCTCCAAAGTCCATGGTGTAGAACAAACTGGATTCAGTCCTTGGACCATATGTTTGACAGCTCTATGCTTGAGATCTTAGTCTAATTCCTTTGCAAGCAAGTAACCCAAACATCACAAAGTCAATAAAGCTGCTGGCTCATTTGCTTACTTCTATAGAGTTTCTCTGTGTCACCTTCTTCCATGTTTTGCCCTCCTGTTGACACTAGTGGATCATTTGGTAGCTGCAGTTGGAAATTTAATTAATCTTACTCTTGGTTTTCCATTTCTAAATTTAAAAGACAGATTTATGGGACATAATTAGCAATCAGTCATATGGTTCACATCAAGCCAATTGCAGAACTTCAGTCTAACATGGAAAACAAACCAAGGGTTTCAAATGTGGTCACAAACAAGTCATATGCTGTTGCTCAGTGAAGATAAAACACAAAGTTGCTTATTTATCTCCTGAAGGTTCAAGCTATTTATTGGAAAACTGTTTCCAGAGTTCTTGCAAATTCTCACCCCCCGTTCACTTTCAGCTTAGATGGAAACTCCTATCCAGAGCCTATGAAGAACACAAAAAAGGTTTTAAAATAACTGCATTTTAATTTAAAGGGGAAAGATCAGATAATACAGGATGCTTCATCAACAGCTGAGATTCTGCCAAACTATTACTCTGAACTATTTTCTTGAACTGACCATCATAGAGCCTAATTAAAATAACCTTGTCTTCATAGCTGAGCCAGCTAATCTTGTTTTTTTAAAAACTCTACTTTATTTAGAGTTCAACAATAACAAAAAAAACCTGCAATAACTACTACATAAGTTCATTACAATTGACCATCTTTAACAATAATTGAGCCAGCTAATCTTGATTTTTAATGAATTATAGATATACAAAACAAACTATACCAAGAAAATAATAAATTCATAATATATAACAGTCAAACATAGTAACTATATATATAGAGAGAGAGATTGTTAATCTGGATCTTAACAATATTTCACACCATACTTGTTATCAGTGTTATATTTTAATATAAATAATTGATATCCAGAGTTGTTCAAATGAACAAAAGTTGTTAACTTAACCACTGAGGCTATATGCCACTATATGGTCTCCACTTAGTAGGTATAATTATCTTTGTTGCTGTTAGGAGGTTTCTTACTAACTCCAGATGTTCGCATCTTATAACTCCTTTAAAATGCCCAAGTAAAGTATATAAAGGGTTGGTAGTATAGAGTATCAAATCATCTTGTCTGAGCTACAGACTTCTTCCAGATATAGTGTTTGTATAACTCCATGTGTGAAGGAAAAGGAAAAGCGATGCAAGTTTCCCACAGGTACTACTGACTTCACAGTTTATCTTCTTTTGAGGAGTAATGTCAGCTGTACAAAACCATGTAGAAATTTATTTTACGTTAACACCCTGCTGCAAAAAAATTATTTCATTGTTCATCTGAAATTCCTGTATATTTGGCAATCCTGTTTTAATTTAATTTTATTTCCTTTTAATTTATGTCTGGATATGTTTTTTTCTGTTACAGTCTGGTCTAAATTTGCTTTTAGAAATGCATTAAATATTTCCAAACTCTCATCCCCATTTCTTAACAGTTTTGCTTTGGCATTTTCCACTGACCGCTCCAAATAATCAGTACAAGAAACTGAGATATGAAAGCTAGGAGCTAAATAGCACCTTAAACCTAGGTGATGAGTGCAACAATGGAACGTCTAGGCATGCCTTTTTAATAAGAAGAATACAAAGCTGAAAATGAATGAACTGCAGCTAAAATATTTTGTTCATTTTTCACATGATCCAGTCCTTCCCCTGCCCCCCCCCAATATTCTTAAGAGGGTCTGTTCTCCAGTCTTCAGAGAGTAACTGGGAGTGGGGAGGCAGAAAAAGCCTTCTTTTCTTCTACTCTGTAGCTTTAATCTGAAATCTTAGGCACAGTACTGCACGCAGAGCTCAGAAACTGCTTGTGCTAATGAAATTCCCTGTTGCAAAATGTGCCTAGAACAATGGGAGTTTCGAACACTGCAAATAATAAACTTTGAATAAACTTCATAAAGCTGTTGGGGTCTTGGGTGCATTTGCACCAGAGTCGAAGGACATTTCCCCTTCTCATTTGTGAATCAACTTGATTCATGCTGTGTGTGTTTGTGTGTGTAGGTATAAGTGCGGTTTCACAAAGAAAAGCAAGCTGTCTCGGCCTCTAGTGACAGATTGGTAAACTGGATGCTCTCTGCTTTCTCTTGTAAGTAATTGCCTTAGATTGCCGGAAAGCACACCTTGTCCAGGAAAAGAGGTATCCTAAGATGTCCTGGCTGCTTTCCAGAGAGCCTCAGACATGACTCACCCATGCAGACTGGCAGTCATGGAAGGACATGAAGCCTTGCAATGTTAAACCAAACCATAACCAAATGTGTGGGCTTTTGGATAGGAGCTTGCACTGCACTGAACATAGTTTGTCTTTAGTGCGTTGTCAGAACTTGGTCGAGGGTTAGCTGTCATGGACAAATAATGAGCCTTAAACCATTGGACAAACTATGTCACAGCGGCAAAAAGAACCACTGAAGAGCAACTTGGAGCCTCTACATTTGTGCTAAAGTGGGTTAACATAACCAGTGGATTCAATGTTGCAGCCCTAAAAGCAACTAAAATGGTGTTAAATCCTGATAGCCACGATCCTCTTTATTTAGTAAGGTGATATTAGGTACTTTATCACTTTAGGTGTATATTGTTATGCTGGTACATAAAAATACCTTGTGTCTTTTTATGACATAGCCATATCCAGGGAAAGCACCTTTAGTAACCACACAGGCTACTAGTTTGAGAAATGAGGAAGTGGATTACTGGGTCAGTAAGGCATGCAAATCGAATGAATGAATGAAAGTGAAGGCTGAGTGCAGAGCTACTCTTGACTCTTTATCTGGCTAGTAATTTACAGCATGGTTTATGGATAGTCACAAAAGGTGGGTCTCTCTAATTACTTTGTGGTGTTCTGTTGCCCTTCATTGTTCTTCTATGCATAATTTGTTGTACTCCTACTTGATGCTTTATATGAGAGACATTTGGAGTAGAGATTTGACAATTCTTATCCCTAGGTAGGCTAAGTTTGTAGTACCCCCATTTGAAGTAGGTGTTTGTTAAGCAGAGCAACAGCCAGTAATGGTTTAGTGTGCTGAACCAC